TCTACCTGAATAATGTAAAAAATCTGTTTCTTGTCCCTGAAGCCCTGAGATAACTAGAAAGTAATGGTACTGGTATTTCAGGTTCAGCTTGTGCAAACACATCTTTTTCCTTAGACTTAACTTAAATAACTCCCTTTAATTATTAGATATTGCAAAAGAGTATTTTTTATCTATAGCTACCAGTTTTGCACTTCCATTCACTCCTCTTCAGCTCTTTGTTTCTTGGTATTCATCCCTACCACTCTTTTTGAAATGATTCTGTAATGCTTCCTACTGACCTACAAAATTTAAGGGGTTCTCTACTCAGTCTCTATCCTATTAAGCCACTTTTAAAAGAGTTTAGTTTAAAAAAATTTTTTTTAAAGTTGTAGTTGGACACAATACCTTCGTTTTATTTGTTTATTTTTATGTGGTGCTGAAGATTGAACCCTAAAAAGAATTTGTTTTTAAACACCCCCTTTTTTTTTTTTTTACTCTTTTCTTTCCAAGATTTGATTACCGTCACTCTGCTTACTATTTTGTTCCTTGTCGATTTCATTTCTTTGCTTTTCAACCTCAGCTTGAACCTTGTAAATGAAATTGTTCCAGGACTGGTCTTACTCTTTTTCATTGAACATTCTCTCATTTTGAGGCCATATAGTCTGATGATTTAATTACCACCTCTATGAAAATGTTTCCCAGTCCTGGCTGAATTCTTGGTGAATCTCCAGTCAGTCAACTATATTTGTTTCTCTATAGGGATGTCCTACTAGTTTATCAAACTTAACATTTCCAAGTTCAGAGTTAAGATCTTTCTCAACCCAGTCTTTCTCTGAATTCTCCTTCAAATGAGGCAGGCAGACATTGAGGAAAGAGCAGAATTCTAAAACTGGATGCCCTGGTTTCAAATTATGGCTGTAATATTGACTGCATATCAATTTGCTCATCTTTATTTTGTGTATGTCAGATACAACCAATCCTTAATCAAGTACGACTCTTCTCTTTGATCAATGAGTGCTATCATTATTCCTAGTAGGTAGTCTGGGAAAAGGATTGCCTACTAATTTTGCTTTTCCCCTCATTAATCTAAATGGAAGCCAGGTCCTACAGAAGCTATTCCATAATAAATCCTGATTGTATTTCATCCTTCCCAAAGTTGTAAACTCTACTATTTCAATAGCATAGGGAGGCTCCTTGCCTTCAATCTCATCTAACTCATTTTCCATACTGCAGCCAGAGATGGCTTTTGGAAGACTGTGATTAACTCTTAATTGTTAAAATATTAACAAAAGTGTGATTAACTCTTTATTGTTAAGTCTGTAATAACTTACTGCTGGTTTTTCCTGACAGTAAGTTCACATAAGAGATCCTACTCCTTAGGTATAAACAGCTGAAAGAGGTTCACACTTTAGCTATGCTGTACAACAGCAGCAATGCTGCTACAAAAGTTTCAAATTTTGTAACACTAAAGTCTCCAAGAGAATATAAATAAATAATAATAATGTTCTTTTTAATCACTCTTCATATTTTTCTGCTTTCTTCAGCATGAATGCAATTGAATTCAAAGATAAACTTATGTCTGTCTAGTATTTCCTTTCCTCCTTACTTTTTGAGTATTATTTTTTTTTTACTTGTAGTTCTGAGTAAAAGCCATAATATCTGAAAATTCTTGGTTCTTTCCATTTAGTCTACTCATATATGTATATTCAACCCTTGGAGGAATTCTAGGCTGCTTTTGATAGGATAAACTTTATTCACTCTGCTTCTTTAGCAATATCTACATTTGCTAGCATTTGCTCACACTGACTTTCTAATGAAACAAATATTTTCACAACCACATCTCTTACATATATATTTTTTAATACATTCATATATTCTTCAAGTAGTTAAATAGTATGGTTTTCTCTATAGCCTTCTACTAAATTTAACTTCTACCACTTTGAGAAAATGAATTCTGTAATAAGATTACTATCTTTTTGGGGGGACTGGGGCCGTAGCTCAGTGGTAGAGGACTTGCCTCGCATGTGTGAGGCTCTGGGTTCAATCCTCAGTAAAAATAAAATAAATAAATAAAGTTATTTTGTCCATCTACAACTAAAATTATATATATATATATAAAAAACTACCTTCTTATCTGAATAGTACAGTGAAACTTCATATATCCAGAGGTATATTTCATGTAACTTCAATCCACTGGAATTTCTTAAGCTTTCTTTCTTAAGCTGCAAACCAGGAGTACAAAAATCTTTTCAGCATTTAGAATGGTTGTCATAAAGGACATGTAATAAAATTTGTGTAAAAAATTTTCTCAGTCTATAATCTTGAAGCAGTGCTGACCAAAAGAAATATAAGTTTTCTAATATAAGTTTTCCTATACTACAGAGGAAGGATTCCAAGTTCAAAGCCAGCCCCAGCAATTTAGCAAGGCCATAAGCAACTTAGTGAGACCCTGTCTCTAAATAAAAAGTTAAAAAATAAAGGGTTGGGGATGTGGCTCAGTGGTTAAGTGTCCCCGTAAGCCCCAGTACCATTCCCTCTGGAAAAAAAAAAAAAAGAAAAGAAAGTAAAACAAACAAAAGGGTGAAACTAATTAATTCAGATTATTATTTCATCAAATATTAATATAAAAACAAGAATATTTTACATTTCTTTCCTCCTCCTTCCAAAGCTAATATATATTTTATATTTATAGGATGTCTCAATTCAGATTTCCACTGGAAAAACTTAAATCTTTATTTAGATTTTATAAAATTTACAATTGAAAAAGTAGATTCACATACCCAACTTGTTTCATACTAAGTTTCCCAATAACTAAAGTAAATGTCAGTGTTTCAATTTAAATTTTAAATTAATTAAAAAATTAAAAACTCAACTCTCTCAGCCATACTAGCTTCATTTAAAAGGCTCTGTGCATTTAAAGCTGTTGGCTAATCTCAAGCAGGTTTGCACTCTGGCTCCTGGAAGTTAAGCTTAATATTTGTGTAAGTTTTGTGTTTGCATACCAATTATGCTTACTGAATTTGCCATTATAATATTGCTCTTATAATAGTTGATTTTATTATTACTGTAAAATAATATGTTTTTCTGGAAACACTAGAAAGTTAGAGGCAGAACTTAATATTTGGAGACATTGAGACATTGGATTTCTTTTGTGACCTACACCAGAGTAGGGCTGGGATGTAGCTCAGTGGCAAAGTGTTTGCCTCACATTCGCAAAGCCCTGGGTTTGGTATCCCCTAACTCCTGTTCCAACCCCCCCCAAAACCCCAAAAACCCAAAACCAAAAAAAAACAAAGCCCCAAACCACCTGATACTTAACACAAACCAGAAGAGCCTGAAATGAAAGAATTAAGCAGAGAGACTATAATTTTTTTTGAAGAGTGATATAAACTCCAAATAAATAAAATTAAGTCTCTTAAGTCTGGCAAGGCTCTATGTTAGAGAAGCACAGCATTATTATCTGGCCCTGCCTGACCACTCTGCAGTGCCAAAGAACATGCTGAGATTTCTGCACCTGGTCCTGTTCTAGGGGGCAACACTGTGCTTCACTGAGTTTATGTTTCTTGGTTAAATATGAAAGTTCTGTGTCTATTTTTCAATCCTTCCCTTGTCCCACCTCTGTGTGTGTGTGTGCATAAGAGGCATTTTAGTTTCTTCCTATCTGTAGCCCAATCTTAAGTAAAACAACTACTTACATTTCTGAGAAATGAGACTGAAGAGAGGTATTACTTTTCTTTCTTTCTTTTTTTTTTTTTTTTTTGTGTGGTGCTGGGGATTGAACCCAGGGCCTTGTACAGGCAAGGCAAGCACTCTATATCCTGAGTGCTTAACTGAGCTATATCCCCAGTCCTGAAGAGAGGTATTTCTTGAACATTATAGTTGTGTGATAAAGGTACATTGCTACAAAAGTGCTTCTAATTGGTTAGGGTAAGATTATACAGGCAGGAAAAAAATATAGGAGTCTACATTCAGATTGATTTGCATTACAGTTACACATAAAAATGAAATTCATTGTGATATATTCGTATGTGCATACAGCATAATTTGGTCAGAATGCAGTTCCTACCCTTTCCTATTTCTTCTCTCTCTCCCTCAATCCCCTTTAACCACTTCAGTATTCTCCTATTTTCGTGAGATTTCTTTTGTTAAAATTCCTTATGCATATGAGAGAAAATATTCATATTTTCTTGACTATCTGAATATGGCTTATTTCACACATCATGATGTTCTCCAGTTCTACCCATTCACTGGCAAATAATATAATTTAATTATTCTTTATGGTGGAGGCAATCTCCATTCTGTATGTATACTAGATTTTCTTTATCTTTTTATCTATTAAGGGAGACACCTTGGCTGGTTCAGTAAGTTGGCTACTATAAATTGAGCTGTTGTATATATTGGTATGCATGTAACACTTTAGTATGCTGATTTATGTCTTTTGGATAAATACCAACAAGTGGAATGGCTGGGTCATATGGTCAGTCCATTCCTAGTCATTTGAGGAATTTCTATACTGCTTTCCAAAGTAGTTGTACAAATTTGCAGTACTATCAACAATGTATGAGTGTACCTTTTTCCCCCTATCCTCTCCAGCAATGAGTGGGATGACTTCAAATTAAAATGCTTCTGTACAACAAAGGAAACAATTAAAAGAGTGTGAAGAGAGCATCCAAACAATGAGAGATCTTTGCACCTCCTTCTCATATAGGGCATTAATATCCAGAATACATTACAGAATTCAACACGGAAAAAAAAAACAACCCAAATCAATAAAGGGGCAAATGAACTAAAACAGACCTTTCCCAAAAGAAGAAATGCAAATGGCCAACAAATACATGAAAAAACATTCAACATTCTTAGTGTAGTTTTGATTTGCATTTCTCTGACTGCTAAGATTTCATCTCATCCAGTTAGAGTGGCAACCATAATTTTGATTATTTTAGAATAAATAAATGAAAAATTATTATACAAGTATCAAGTGTTTTATGAAAATCTAAAATAACTAGCAGCTATTTACTTACCTTAAAAAACTCCTTTTTCTCAATCATCTCATTGCCATCTGCATCTAGCATTTTAAAAGCAACATGAAACCCAGTATGAGGTTCTGCAATGAAGTAAAAATGAGTAATTATGTAAATGTTGGTGAAATGCAAGCTATTTGCAGATAATGCTCAAATCTGAAACAAGCCACCTGAGACTATATGAGTAAGTGCTTAAACTGAGAAAACAATGTACTCTTTCTCAATTTTCAAAGGTGGATATTTGGTGTGAAGGCTTTCCCCCTGCTTTGTCTAGCACTTTTTTCTTGGGCGCTTCTGCTCCACAGCTCTGCCCTTCAATGCAAAATTAACTGAGAACTTTATTTTGTTAGCTTATGTATTTATTAAGGATTTATTTATCTATTTGTTTATTATTACTTACTTATATATTAAGAATATAAGAACTTTATTTCTTATATTCTTATATTTTCTTGGCTATATTACTAATGATGATTACTTCTCTTTCTCAGAGTAGTTTAAAAAAAATCTTTTAACTTTGTAATCCTTTCAAACTTAAAGAAATATTGTAAAGATAGTAGAAGAGTCCTCACAGATTTGCCACCCAGCTTTTTCTAAAGCCAACATCTCACATAACCATAGCACATTTATCAAGATAAAGAAATTAATATTGATATGCCATATGAAATAAACTAAAGACTTTATTTGAATTTCATGTTGCCCCGTTCCCCATACTTATGCTACTTTTCTACTCTAGGATCAAATACCATGCTGCATGTAGTTGTCATTTGTCCTTACTCTTCTCCATCTGCAGAAGTTTCTCATTCTTTCTCTGTTCTCTATGACCTTCACACTTTAAGTACTGGTCAGGAATTTTATATGTAATGCCAGGTGAAGGTTTTTAATGTTCACAAGTGAAGGTTAACTACGACTCATGTGTTCAACAAGGCTTCTATCTAGGAAATAAAGTTCTGGGATGCCATGGTGCACGGGAGGTAGAAGGGATAATCTAATATAGTGTTTACATTTTGTAGATATAGAAGCTAAAGTTAATGCACCAGTATTTTTTAATGATTAAGACATAAATGTCAAACTTCAAAAATACTGTTTGGTAAGAAGAGAGAATTCACAAGATTGCTGTAAAAATTATGGGATACTTACTAGTGAGGATTGTAAGCAAGAAAAGATACTCAGTATACGAAATTAGCCCTGAAAGACAGAAAGTAAAAACATACTAAGAAACACATTTTAGATGGTTTAATAGTATCCTCATGGAGGTGTTAATAATGAAACTTCACCTAAGTAAACAACAACAACAACAACAACAACAAGACTCCCATAATTTTTACTTTAACTCTCCTAGACATAGAGGAAAATTTTTATAATAGAGTTGAAATACAGTCCTCCTGCTTGGAGTGGGGGGGAAAGACCTGTTTTATCAAGTTACTAGTACAGAGGATGTGAGAACTGTCAAGCAGTGCTCAATTAAACACTATTTCTGAGTATGTCTATGATGGTGCTTCTGGTTGATATCAGCATATGATTAAATTGGTAGATTCAGTACAGTAGCCTGCCCTCCCACATATGGGTGGGCATTATTTAATCTGTTCAACAAAAAAACAGAGGAAGAAAGAATTCAGCTTTTTCTCTCCTAAGCTCAGACTGAGGTTTACACTATAGATTCCCCTGATTCTCAAATCTCTTGGCTTGGACTAAGTTACACATCCAGCTGTCCCAGGATGACTCTATTTTTTTCCCCTTTAGAGGTAGGTGTTGATTGGCCTAAGTCAATCACTCATTCTTATAATGCAGAAACAGGTAAGTAGCTCTGGCCCAAGCTAGTGAGCTGGGTATGTTAGCCTGGTGCCAGGGCCTGGTTTCGGCACAGGCCATGATCTAAGATGGGTCACTCAGAGGTTACCATAGGATTTCTGTTGAGAATGCTAGATCACTGACTTATGTAAGAAAGTTCCTAAACTTAGGAATGTTGAGGAGATGAAAAGAGTACCTGAAAACTGCCACAAAGCCAGCATTTCAAAAAGGAGAATGTAGTCATTTTTTAATTGGCAGGCCTGAATAATGTTTTCACATTTGTCCTATAGTTTCCAGCATTATAAGAAATTTTGATGATTACATGTCCTCCATATAATTTTACACGTTTCTCTAACTTCTCTATTTCCTACAAACTGACACTTAGATCCAGAGGTGTGCTGAGATTCAGGTTTTTTTTTTTAAATATATTTTTTAGTTGCCAATGGATCTTTTATTTTATTTATTTATATGCGGTGCTGAGGATCAAACCCAGAGCCTCACATATGCCAGGCAAGTGCTCTACCCCTAAGCCACAGCTCCTGAGATTCAGGTTTGATTTTTGTTTTTGTTTTGTTTTTTGTACTGGTGACTGAACTCAGGAGCACTTTACCACCAAGCTACCTACAATCCTTTTTGATTTTAAGAGATGGTCTTGTTAAGTTGCTCAGGGGCTTGATACATTGCTAAGTCTGGTCTTGAACTTGTGATCCTCCTGACTCACCCTTGGGAGTTGCTGGGATTATAGCCTGCGCTACCATACCCAGCAAGAATTCTTTTTGGCAAGAATTCTTCAGAGATGATAATTTATATTTTCATTAAGAGACCAAAACACAGAAAATGCTATATACCACTAATAAGTACTATGTTAATCAGTTTTTCATTGCTTTAAGCAAAATATCTTAGAGGAAGCAAAGTTTGTTTTGACTCATAGTTTCAGAGGTCCATGATCAGGTCAGCCTACCTCATTGCTCTGGGTCCAAGCTGAAGCAGAACATCATGGCAGAAGGGTATGGGGGAAGAAAGCTGCTCATCTCATGGTATCCAGAAAGCAGAAAAAGGTAGGAGCCAGAGGTACAAGATATAATCTCTAGGAGAATACCCACAGAGACACACTTCTTCAGCTATGCTCCACCTCCCTATAGTTCCCACTCACTTAGTCTGTTCAAATTGGGATAAGAGTACAGATCTCATAATCATCCAATCATTTTACTTCTGAACACTCCTGCATTAACACAAATCATGTCTGATAGTAACAGTTAACAGTTAAGAAAAAATGTGAAATCATTTCCAGATTTAGATAATCACAGATACCGTAGAGGAACTAATTTTTAAGGTAATCTTTGAATGATCCAATTGAGGAGAGAAGATGGGTTAAAAAGGTTTTTTTGTTGAGATGAGGTCTCACAAATGTTGCAGTGACTGTATGACCAATGTAATTCTGCAACCTGTACAATCAGAAAAATGAGAAATTATACCCCATTTGATTCAAATGTATAAATTTGAATCAAATGGGGTATAATTGTACTGGTACTGTCATGTGTAACTAATTAAAAAAAAAAGAAAAGAAAAGCTAGTCTTTTTAACAAATGGAGCTAAGAAAACTGGAGATATATATAATTATTTTTTCTCTCTTACCCTGAACAAAAGTCAAATCAAAATGAATCAAAGACTTAGAAATTAAACCAGAAACCTTGCAATTAGAAGAAAACAGAGTGCTGGCATTGACTTCCTTAACGAGAAACTCAAGAAAACTCAAGAAATAAAACCAACAATAAATAAGTGGGATGCCATCAGACTAAAAAGCTTCTGTATAGCAAAGGAAACAAGAGTGTGAAGAGACAGCATACAGCATGGTACAAAATTATATCAAGAATATATATCAATGATTAATATCAAGAATATATAAACTCAAAAACTTTAATACTTAAAAAACATGTAATGAATAAATAAGCAAAAAGAATGAAACAGACATTTCTCAAAAGACAGAGATGGCCAAAAAATATATGAAAAAATGTTCAACATCTCAAGCAATCAGGGAAATGCAAATCAAAACTACACTCAGTTCATCTCACTCAAGTTAGACTAGTACCACCATTCTGGAAAGCAATATGGAAATTCCTCACAAAACCAGGAATGGGCCAGGCACAGTGGAGCATGCCTATAGTTCCAGTTAATTTGGGAGACTGAGTAGGAGGATGGCAAATTCGAGGCCAATCTCAGCAACTTAGGGAGACTCTGTCTCAAGAAACAAAAACTAGGAATGGAAACACCATATGACCTAGCCATCCCATTCCTTGGTATTTATCAATAAGAACTAAAATCTCCATAGTATGTGTTACAAGCCATCTCAATGTTTATAGCAGCACAATTCACATAAGCCAAATTATGGATCAGTCCAAATGCCCATCAATAAATAAAAGGATTAATAAACTGTTGTATATATACACAATGGAGTTTTACTCAGCCATAAGGAAGAATGAAATTATGGCATTTTCTGGAAAATGGATAAAAACAGAGAACATTATATAAAGTTAAATAAGTCAATCTATGAATTTGTTGAAATGAAACTAACTGCTATGTATACCTATAACGCTCTAATAAAAAATATAGATACACACATACATACAAGTGTTTTGGGGCTGGGGATGTATCTCAGTGCTATAGTGATAGAATACCTGCTTAATTAGCATGTAATTTGATCCCCAGCATCACAAAAAGAAAAAGTTGTCAAAAGGAAGTGTTTTGATTAAAAAGTAAAAATCAGATGATGATAATCCATGTTTTATTATGATGTTATAAACAGCTGATGCATTACTTCCAAAATTTACTAAAACATTACTGCTAAATGGATTTGATTTTGTTGATAACACCAATTAATCCTAACCTGGGAAAAATCTATATAAATTACTGAAAACTTTTAATTGAAAAATATTAAAATAAAATTTAGTCCTTATGCTTTCATTACACAGAACCCCTAACTAAAATTGCATTCTGAAATAGAATAGTTTACAGTTAGCATATAATTAGTTTTAGATGAGTATCCATTATTTTCTAGAGAACATTTAGGCAATATACTGGGCAACCAGGAATATAAAAGTGACCGCATAAATTTTTTTCTCTGAGAATTTATGATTTAATTAGCAAAGATTAGTATAACAAAATGCAAAAATGAGAAAGAGCACAAACTCTAGTCGATTTGGATATCAGTTTCAAAGAGTAGGGTAGCTACTGAGTAGGAAGGAGTTTAATGGGTGATGGGAGTATGGATGGTGTTCCATATAAAAGTGATAGGCAGCACATAAAGGAACTACCAGTATTTAGGAAGGTTAAGGCACAGGAGAGGGCTGCATGGGTATTTCTTTTCTGAGTAAAGGGTGCTTCTAAAGTCTCTTAATCACTTACCTCATGTTATGTTTTGGATATGGAATAGCCCTCAAAAGCTCATGTATTAGGCAACAAGCAATGTTTAGAGGTGAAATTCTTAGATTGTGAGGACTGTAACCTCATCCATCAGTGGACTAATCCATTTGATGGATTAATAATCTGAATGGACTACCTAGTGATAATTGTAGGTAGGTAGGGCATGGCTAGAGGAAGTAGGTTACTGGGTGTGTGGCCTTAGGGACTATGTCTGTCTTTGGTCTCCTCCTCTCTTGCTTTCTGTACTTTTGAGCCACCATGAAAAGTTGAGCAGCTTTTCTCCACCATTCCCTTCTGCCATCAATTTTATGCCTGTAAACAGTCAACCATGGATTGAGACCTCTGAAACTACTAGAGCTAATAAATGAATTCAGCAAAGTGGCAGGATATAAAATCAACATGCATAAATCAAAGGCATTCCTGTATATCAGCAACAAAACTTCTGAAATGGAAATGAGGAAAAACACCCCACTCACAATATCCTCAAAAAACAAAACAAAACAAAACAAAACAAAACAAAACAAAAAAACTTGGGAATCAACCTAACAAAAGAGGTGAAAGATTTATACAATGAAAACTACAGAACTCTAAAGAGAGAACTAGAAGAAGATCTTAGAAGATGGAAAAATATACCCTGTTCATGGATAGGTAGTACTAACATCATCAAAATGGCGATATTACCCAAAGTTCTCTAGGCGATATTACCCAAAGTTCTCTATAGGTTTAATGCAATGCCAATCAAAATCCCAACGGCATTTCTTGTAGAAATAGAGAAAGCAATCATGAAATTCATTTGGAAAAATAAAAGACCCAGAATAGCAAAAGCAACTCTAAGCAGGAAGTGTGAATCAGGCAGTATAGCGATACCAGATTTCAAACTATACTACAGAGCAAGAGTAACAAAAACAGCATGGTACTGGTATTTGCTAATGGGTCAAGCACTTCCAGCTGTGATATCCAATGGGCAGTTCTCTGTCCTGGCTTATTCAACTTCATTAATTTACTTGATATTTACTTATTTGACAGCTCCTTTTTTAATATGTTCTCCTCTTGGCCTCTGTGGTAAAATTCTCCTGGTTCTTCTACTTCTTGGATCTCCTGGCCCTGGTTTCTTTCATGAGCATTTTATCACTATCTATTCCCTTATATGTTGGTGTACCTCTGAGGCCTTCTCTTCTTCTTTAGACTCATGTCTCATCCTTACTTTTCTTATTCCACCTCATCTCCTCTCTCCAGTTTTTAATTAACAATGATGTTTTAATAATTTACCTTAAATTGTTCAAAGAATGAGAATAACTTTTTCATTTTTTATTTTTTAAATCAATTTTTAATTTTCATTTATTTATACATACATATATATTTTTAGTTGTATATGGACTTTTATTTTTTATTTATTTATAGGTGTTTCTGAGAATTGAACCCAGCACCTCACACATGCTAGGCAACCGCTCCACCAATGAGCCACAACCCCAGCCCTTATTATATTTTTTAAAATTTATTGTTTTAAAAACACCTGTTAAATAACATGGTACAAATCTCACACCTTAGTTCTCTAATAATATGTCAGTTAAATTATACATGCAACCAAAAAATGAACAGCAAATTAAAATTACCTTTATCACCAAGGTCTCTAAAAAAAGTTGATCCACAATTAGCTGTACGGATTCCTGCCAGTACCTCCTCGATATCCTATAAATACATATATTAAAATCTTTCAATTTGATTTATAAAAGTTCACTATCTTTTTTAAAAAATATATTTTTAGTTGTAGGTGGACAGAATACCTTTATTTTATTTTTATGTGGTGCTGAGGATTGAACCCAATGCCTCATGCATGCTAGGCAAGCCCTCTATCGTTGAGCCACAACCCCAGCCCCAAAAGTTCACTATCTTACCAAAAACAAACAACACTTCCCCTCTTTTCCCTTACCTTTTTTGCCAGCTTCTTGACTAAAGTTTTACCTGGAGCAAAGAAGAAACAGTATTTAGTACTCATATTCCTTGATAAAACTCAACTGGCATTAATGATTCACAAGACCAACAACTGAATGCTTCTAAAAAGTTTGCAATTTTTAGTCAATATCCTTAAATCAAAATTATGAGCTAAAGAATTCTAAGTATAAACACAAAGATGCTATATTTTTTTTTACAAGTCAATTCCTTAACCATCCTATTTCATACATATAAAATCTTCTTTGACTTATCTTAGCTGTCTGCATCAGGCATTAATCCTTTTTTTAAAAGTATTTTTTTAGTTGTAGATGGACATAATACCTTTATTTTATTTTTATGTGGTGCTGAGGATCAAACCCAGTGCCTTCCACTTGTGAAGTGAATACTCTACCACTGAGCCCAGCCCCTCAGACATTAATTTTTGCCACACATAATTTCTTTCTTCACATGATTATTAAATCAATCTCTTTTTGCTTTCATCGATTAAAAAAGAAAAATCACACTTATGTTTTAGAAAGCTACCTTGTTGGAAACCTGAAAAATCCTTTATGCTAACAACTTGCCAGTCAAATTTAAAAGGCTAGCCAACATGACTGTCCATGCTGAGGTGATATTATTTTTCACAATAACAGAGATTTCTTTCAGGTTTTTAGCTACTTCCCCCCCCCTACCTAAAACGTTTTTTTTTTTTTCTTCCTACAGTTCTGGTGATTGAGCCCAGGGCATCAGGCAAGCCAGGTAAGTATGCTATTACTAAGCTACATCCCCACCCCATAAAGCACTATAATTCCAAAATAACTACATTGTTTCTTTTACACATATAGAACAGTATTAAACATTTTGTCTTTTACAGAAGTCATGGGCTTCACAAACTTCACCTCTTGTTCTCAAAATTATTGTTATTATTGTTATTGGGTACTGGAGATTGAACTCAGGGGCAAGTGCTCTACCACTGAGCACAACCTTAGCCCTTAACTTTTATTTTTATTTTTATTTTTTTGGTACTGGGGATTGAACTCAGGGGCACTTGACCACTGAGCCACATCTCCAGCCCTGTTTTGTATTTTATTTAGAAACAGGATCTCACTGAATTGCTTAGCACCTCATTTTTGCTGAGGCTGGCTTTGAACTCAAGATCCTCCTATCTCAGCCTCCTAAGCCACTGGGATTATAGGTGTGCACAACTGTACCCAGAGATTTTGTTCTCAAAATTATTATACAATTACAAGATCTGTAAAAATTCAGGTGACAAGTTAAAAAAATGAGCGCTTTTAGATGTGCCTTTTCTGTAGTTTCGGTTGCTTAACTCAAGACTATAAATTACTAGGGATGAATTCTATTACAATTGTTGTTCATTAACTGTTAAGATTTTGTTTTTACATTCATCAAAACACTAGTTGTGAACATAACTATATAGTTTTTAGAAATATCTATGACCATGTTTGTGAGCTAAGGTGTTAACTATTTTAGGACACTTTTTATTAACTGTTAAACTATTATGTGCCAGCCAATGACAACTCTATAATTTCTTTTTTTTATTAATTTTAAAAAATTTACATGACAGTGGAATGCCTTACAATACATATTACATATATAGAGTACAATTTTTCATATCTCTGGTTGTATACAAAGTATATTCACACCAATTCGTGTCTTCATATATGTACTTTGGATAATGATGACCATCACATTCCACCATCATTTCTAACTCCATGCCCCCTCCCTTCCCCTCTGCCTTATCTAGAGTTCCATTGTGTATAATATTATAATATAATATAATATTCCATTGTGTATAAATGCCACATTTTTTAATCCATTCATCTACTGAAGGGCATCTAGGTTGGTTCCACGACAACTCTAATGTTAGGCATTATCATATTATTAGATTATCAGATAGAAAAAATACTATTTAATTTACAAATCTAAGTGTTTGTGTGACAGGTATCTTACCTATCTTTATATATGTATATGTATTCTAGTTTTTTAAAGAGAGATTAATCTTTGCACACTACTCAGAAGGCATATGTCAGGAAGCAATAATTGACATTTTGAAGGTAGAAGAGGACTGAGAATTTGAGAGAGCTATATAGATGGTTTGTAGGGGGTTTTAAGAAATAAGATGATTTCTAAGAGGTCTTATGTTTGCTAAACCAATCTAGGTCTTTTAAAAATCTTTGTGCTTAAAAAGAAAAAAATTCTTCTCCTTGAAACTGAGCAAAGAAAGAAGGCAACGTTTGCTTCTTTGCAACTAGAAGGCCAGCTATCAAATAATTAAGCCATGGCTCAAGAGGCTGAGGCAAGAAGATGGTGAGTTCAAAGCCAGCTTCAGCCACTTAGTGAGGCTTTAAGCAATTCAGAAAAACTTGAATAATGTAAAATATTTTAATATATAAGAAAGGGCTGGGGACATGACATGGCTCAGGGGTTGAGTGCCCCTGGGTTTAATCCCTGTTAACAAACAAACAACAACAAAAAAAGCCAAAAAATTCAATATCATGTAAATGTCATACAACAATAAAACCATAAATTAACAAAATAATATAATGCTGGATTGTAGGTAAGAAATAAATTATAAAACATACTGAGGCTGATTCCATATCTGTCTTACTGTTATACAATACAGTGTTTAGCATTTAATCATTTGCTGAATAAATAACTGAAAAAAATTAAAAAGATTTCATGTCTTCTTATCTGGATTCTAGCCTTCTGGTGGTTATTAACTTCATCTTACATTAGAAAAAAAATAACAAGAGGAGTTAGGTCATGATATCAACACTGGAGGATTTGTTTTCTCATATAGATTTTTCAAAAAAGCAACTGAGCTCCATGAAAGTAGATTTCAGCTCCTTGTACTTACTTTGAACTCTAAAGAGAACCAATTAAGCATGATATTATAAAGTGGGTCCTGCTGGTTTTTTTAAACTATAATTCGAAATAGTAACAATGTCAATTATAAGATGTTTGATACTTACATATGGGAATCTGATTATAAAAAATGGAGAAACTACATAATGCAGCTTAGTTTGTGAAAAGCATTTTCAAGTGGAAATCAATTAGAGAAATGATGTTAGTAAAAAGTTTGGCAGCACTCTCTTACATGAACTTCATTTTTAAATTAAGGGGAGAAAACGGCAGAAAATACCTATTATCTTTCTTTGTCCTAAGTCAATACACTTTCCCCAAAGTAAGAAGAAGGGATGTGGTGTTTCAAATCCAGAATGGTCTGGGAGGGTTTTTTGGTAGATGGTTATCTACTTTTATCCTACCTGTTCAGAAAGGGAATTTAAGCAGCAAAATAAGTGGTCCAAAGTCTGATCCACTACACCAGGAGCCATGATCTTTGCCCTCCTGACAGCAATAACAAGGCAAGGTCATAAGTATTTGGGGGCCACTTTCTCTATTTAAGAAGAAAATCCATCTGTAAACAATCTAATTTTTTTGTGTGGGGGGTCAAAAGAAGAATTTCTGCTTCTTTGGCTATTTTCACATCCACACACATTAAAAAAAATTCAATCATTACCTTCATACATTTAATTTGTGTGTGTGTGTGTGTGTGTGTGTGTGTGTGCGCGCGCGCGCGCGCAGGGCAGAGGAAGAACTCCTACTTCTTTCTTTGGTTATTTTCATATTCACACATTTAAAAAAATTCTGTCATCATCTTCACATTCTTTCTTTTTGTGCACTCATATATGGAAATATCTAAAATGGGAAAAATAACAAAAAAGGTAGACATAAAACTGAGGCTATAAAATTTTATTGTATTGATATGAAATAATAAAAATACATTGTGGGTTGGTTGATTATTTATTTATGTTTTTGCAGGAGGGGGGCCATAAAGCTTTAAGCATTATGATGAAATTTTGGCTCATCAAGTAGAATGTTTTTAAAGGTGTCCACTTATTCTAGAGATTCCACCATGTATTTTCTCCCTATTTTTAGAGGATTTTAGATATAAAAACTATGTATACATAGCTTGTTACAGGAAAGTAGCCCTTTTAATACTGAAAATAATACTGCATTTGTATATATTAGGTATTGCTACAGGTTAAACAAAGCCTTGCCTCTAGTCAAAATAGTCATTTGATAATCATAATTATAAAATTATTACCAAAAGTATTTTTTTAAATATTTTTTAGTTGTCAATGGACCTTTATTTTGTTTATTTTTATGTGGTGCTGAAGGTCGAACCCAGTGCCTCACACATGCTAGACAAGCACTCTACCACTGAGCCACAACCCCAACTCCTACCAAAAGTATTTAATTCAATTTCATTATGCTAAGGTAAATAGTTTTTTGACCCATAAACATTCAACAATAGAGATATTTTCATCATTTTCTAAATTTTTCATAAATATATAGAATAATTTGACATTAATATCAGAATTAGTGTGTCAAAGTTGATTACTTCAATACTTGTTTTTATTCAGTCATAACTATTGTGGAAACCAAGGCAGAAATGACGCATTAACAAAACATCTCAACTTTCTTGTATCACTAATAAAAGTGGCAAGTAGGAAAAAAAAAGAGGGAAATTTAATGGTGCTACTTTCTTTACACAAAATACATGGCATATTTTTGCTGCAATATTTAAAAAAGTGCAAAAGCATTCTCCAGTTGTATATTTTTTTTTCCTAGAGGGAGACAAATGGTGAACTCCTAAAATGCCTAAAACTGGCTTCCTTGCCAAGTAGGGTCTTGAAATAACATTTAAATGGTTTCAAGAGATAAAAAAGAGACCCTGTTTTGCAACTGTAAGTAATGTGAAACAATTAATAAACAATATTAGACACAGCAAATTAATTATAATTTAAAAACTGATCTAAAGCTGGGCATGGTGGCCCACCTGTAATCCCAGTGACTTATGACTCTGAGGCAAGAGGATCATGTTTGAGGCCAGCCTTGACAATTCAGTGAGACAGTCTCAAATAAAATAAATAAGTAAATAAAAAGGGGAGGGGATGTATGTAGCTCAGTGGTACAGCATCCCTGGTTTCAATCTTCAGTATCACAAATAAATAAGCAAAACCCCAACCTTACCTAAAGATGAAATACAGAAGCTAAGAAATTACATCGCTTTCTCCTTCTTGGGGGGAATAGATAAAGGAAAGCTTCTCCAAGTAAGGGTTGCTTAAGTCAAGATTTGAAGGGTTAGTAGGACTGGACAGTAGGTCCTGCCACTCTTTTCTGTGATGACAAAGATGCTGAGGTAAATCCTCTTAATGATTTCTATTTTCCTGGGGAGTAAGGGGTTGGTAATTTGCTAGAAAGTGGGATAGGCATAGGTATAGAGACTTTCAGAAACTCAGCATGATGGATCTGAGATTGCTATTCTAAAGAAATAAATTGATTTTGATTTTTGTATAGTGATGCTATATCCTGTGACTCTGATAAACTACTTAGTACTTATAGTAGCTTTATTATCTATAGATCTTTTAAGAATTGCTACACAGCAATCATGCTGTCTACAAATAAAGGCAGCTTTATTTCTTCTACTTATATCTGCAAATCTTACCTTTTTCTTGCCTTTCTGTCCTGGCTAGGTCTTCCAGTTCAATGTTGAATACTAGAGAGAACAGCCAGCCTTTCTTAGTTGCTGATCTTAAGCACACAGCATTCAATGTTCCATTATTAAGAATAATATTGGCAACTGGATTCATATATATATATATATATATATATATATATATATATATATATATATATATTTTCTTTTAGGACCCAGTTTTTTTTAAAAAAATTTTTTAGTTGTAGATGGACACATATCTTATATCTTTATTTTTATGTGGTGCTGAGGACTGAACCCAGTGCCTCATGCATGTGAGGCAAGCGCTTTACCACTGAGCTACAATCCCAGCCCTAGGACCTAGTTTCTTAAGAACCATAATGTCACTCTACTCATACTCTATAAGTTGAGGTAGTCAAAAAGGTTCCAGAGGAAGAAACACAAACTGTACTTCTTGATGGAAAATGACAAATTTCTGGAAGAGCATGCGGGGCCAGAAATATTACTCTAGTCATTTTTGAAAATACAATCTACTATAGTATTTAACTGATTTATCTCCTCATATGGAATATTCTTCCTTTTGTTCTAATGAAATTCTATCTATTCTTCTCAAACTTCTTTGAAGTCCTGACTCTCACTTCTCTCTCTGATGAAACCTTACTACCCTTAAGATAGTATAATACCTAGATCTTACACTAGACTGTGAATTCTATTACTATAATAATAGTATTTGTTTTATTCACCATTGTGTACCCAAGGCTTGACAGTGAGACCAATAAAAATTATAATAAAATTATAATTTTAATAATTTGTACTGATATATTTATTATTAATTATTAATCTACTCAATTGTGCCAGGAATTGTGCTTGGTTGAGTAGTGTGTCAAATAAGACAGGTCCCAATGCTGTTACACATTAATAGAGAAACTGTACATAAAGCAAGTGTGTGTGTGTGTTAAGACAGTGGCAAGAATAGGGCATCTGCAGTTTACTTCAAGTTGCTGACTTGAGATGCCTTAGGTATTTCCTGGAGATGCCGAAAAGAGGCAAATACATGGGTCTGGTGATTAAGTAAGAAGTCTGGTCTGGAAATAAAAAGATACAGATATCAGTGTTTGGGGAACAGCGATATCACTGATGTGGATAAGATCATTAAGGAAGACAATAAAAAATGAAAGAAGACTGCTTGAAGACAGAACCTTAAGAATTAACTTTTAAATAAAGACTGGAGTTAGTTTTTTTTAATTTTATTTTTTGTAGCTGTACACAATAACTGCATTTTATTTATTTATTTATCTATCTACCTATCTACCTATTTATTTATTTATTTATTTTTATGTGGTGCTGAGAGTTGAACCCAGGGACTTCCATGTGCGAGGCTAGCGCTCTACCACTGAGCCATAACCCCAGCCCCAAGACAGGAATAAGTTTTATCCCTAAAACTAAAGAAACTTGAGGGCCCACATCTTATTTATTGCTTATATCCCAGGGTATTTATTATAAATACCAGACTGATCTGAGTTATCTGTTGTATCAGATATGTTTACATATCTACAAACTCCAATCAAAATCCAGTCATTGTAAAGCACAGAGTTAGAACATGTTACTTTTGTAGCAGCCTCTGTTCTATAAATATATTATAGAATTAACTGGGAACTAAATGAAATGCTTCAACTGTGAAAGAGGAGAGGCTGGTATGCTTTTGGCACTAAATAAATCTTTTAGGTAAATGCCTCTTGATGCCATATTCTACAATAGTATAAATTGGTATAGCCTCCATACAGGCTAGGGGGAAACCAGAGACACCTGATTAATGATCTTTAAAAAACAAATAGTAAACAGTTCTTTTGGTTTCTTATTAAAACAGAAAAAAAACCATAAAAAACTAGAAGCCATATGTTTATGACTATTAGAAAGAAGAATCCAAAAAAAAATTTTATTTTTTTCCTATTGAAATTGGGAAGATGAATCATTTTTTTGTATTAAATGCTTTATCTTGTTTTACTTTTTATTTGTTATATATAAATCTCATAAAGGAGGATTAAACTTGATGGAATCCCAAAGAACCTCAAATTTAGAATTATTCCACAGGGGTTATTGGAAAAGTAATAATGTGTTTTGGGGTTAGAGTATGAAAATAATAATTATTTTAAAACTTTTATTCTATTACAGTCTTTCCTGTAACTCAGCTGTTCTTTTTAGTGATTTTGTAAATAGATTCATATAATACGCAGTCCTCTGTGCCTAATTTTATATCATTCAGAAAGGAAAGCACGGGGTTAGAACTTCTTACCTTTGCAGAAGTCTCTCAGCAGTGAAAGCAGAAATGAGTAAGTTGATAAGTAGAAGTGTGTCTGAAGAATACAAGAAGAGAAGAGGCAGATTCTTTCTAAATCTCCCCTAGGTGGGTGGTGGTGGTAAAGTCCACCTCCAAGAATGAAAATGAGATTCTATGCGCTTTAAAAACCTGCTCTTTTCTAACTGTTATATGCATACCTTCCAGTTGGGGGTAGGTTAGTGATTAGCCAGGGACAATTAAGTTTTAAGTTATCTGCCACCCTGTGGTTTGACAAATAAGAAAATCTTTCTTGGGCTCCATGCCAGATATGTGTGTGTGTGTGTGTGTGTGTGTGTGTGTATGTATGTGTGTGTGTTTACAAGAAATCCCAGAGTAGAAATCATTTGTGGGGAGTGACTGGAAAATTGGATACTTCTGTATAGTGTTCAAATGCTGTGAGAGAGCCAATGATGCCCATGATACTGGTATATCCAGGTACTAATTTTCTGTTCAACCGGAGGAAGGGGAAAATGGGATTTCTTAGTGTTCTTGGAGGCCTACACGGCTAAATTTTTTTTGGGGGGGAGGGGTCATCAATTTATCACAAATTTGTGCTTTTAAAACTTCTGAATATGTAAGAACTATCTGGCTCCTACACATTAGTTGCTTTCCTTTTTGAATTGTACTACATAAATGTTTTAGTTTACCTATCTGCTTAGATCCACAATGAGTTTTCAGATATTAGAAAAGAATATAAAGAATCATGTTTTTATTTAGGGTCATTCTTCATTTATTTTCTGAAGTATAACAATTTTTATTTTTATTTTTTTGAGATGGGTTTGCTATGTTGCCCAGGCCAGCCTTGAACTCTGATCCTCCTTCAGCCTCTCAAGTAGCTGGGATTACAGGTATGTTATCACATCTGACTAAAGTATAATAGTTTTAAAATGAACATTTTCCATTGGGATCAAGGTTGTGTGTGTGTGTGTGTGTTGCCCAGGCCAGCCTTGAACTCTGATCCTCCTTCAGCCTCTCAAGTAGCTGGGATTACAGGTATGTTATCACATCTGACTAAAGTATAATAGTTTTAAAATGAACATTTTCCATTGGGATCAAGGTTGTGTGTGTGTGTGTGTGTGTGTGTGTGTGTGTTGGAGAATGAACCTAGGGCCTCAAGGCATTCTAAGTGTGTGCTCTACCATTGAGCTTACACCCTTAGCCAAAGATTAGTATTTATGTAGCTTTACTGCAACATATTTATAATCCATAAAATTCATCCATCTAAACTGTATAGCTCAGCAGTTTTTAGAATATTCAAAGAGTTGTGCAACCATCACCACAATCTAATTTCAAGATATTTTTTATCTTCCCCAAAAGAATGAAAAAGTCTTTAACAGTTACTCCTCCTCTTCCTCTAGTACTCCTAGGAAAACACTAATCTACTTTCTGTTTCTCTGGATTTGCCTATTCCAGGCATAACATATAAATAGAATCATACAATATGTGGTCTTCTGTGCCTAATTTTAACCCTTTTCAGAGTCAAGTGTTAATGCTAACTGGTTAATCTGAATATGATGTCTGACTTGCTTTCTTCACTTGTTTTATTACTTGCTTACTTCCAATAAAATATCCCATGTTGCAAGTATAAATAGGGGTCTGTGTTAGACTGGGTTTCTCTTTCCAGTCACTCACTGACATCTATTCTGTAGCAACTTTTGCTTACACACTTGGCTAGTAATTAAGAGGTTAACAGAGGCTTAAAACTATGACCTCACTCTAGGGGACAGAAATTATGGAAGGGATCCTGGATGGGGGAAAAAAGCTTTCAAGGAACTGAAACTAAAATTATAGCCTAATAGGCAGTAGAACACAGTTTTTTAGAGAGTGGGGTAGCACTATCTTTTAAGTTTTCTCTTTAACATTATTATCAATAATGACAGTAAGGTTTAGCGGCATACACAGGAGCTACAAACATCTGCTTGTTCTATTTTAGAAAATAGTTAAGGTGGGCTGGGGTTGTGGCTCAGTGGTAGAGCACTTGTCTAGCCTACGTGAGGCCCTGGGTTTGATTCTCAGCACCACATAAAAAATAATAAAACAAAATAAAGATATTATGTCCATCTACAACTAAAGAAATATTAAAAAAAAACCCTACTCTTCTTCACCCAGATACTTTTTGTTTTCCAAAGTTACATAAATTCATTAACTTTTTGTTTTCAGCTTTTAATCATTCAAACTTAGGCTGAATTGTCTTAAAAATAGTACTTGGGCTGGGGATGTAATTCAGTGGTATATATAGAGCTAGCCTAGTATGCTTGAGGACCTAGGTCTGAGCCCCAGAATGCAAAAACAAAACAAAACAAAAACTTGTTTTTGTGCCTCAAATACGGAAATAATATTGCTCATTGTGACATCTTTAAAAGACATCGAAAATAATTAAAAAACTAAAATCACTCGTAATTAAATAATTCAATAACTGCCAATATTTTTGCATTTTCTCCTAAAAAAATACATAAAACTAGGTAAAATTTCAGAGCTTCTTATGTGCCAGCCCCCCCATGTTTTACCTGTACTATATTACTGAATATTTATAACACTATTAGCACTATTACTAGTCAGTACTATTAGCACTCTCATTTTATTTGGATGGAAACCCAGGCTTGAAATGCTTAGATAACTTTGCCTACAGACACACTAGTACAAAGAGGTATGGCCAGTAGTCAAACTCAGTTTATGTCCTACTCTGGGACCTGTACTTTCAATAATACTCTTTAATTATGCC